ATATATATATACACACATTTTCACGAATACTTAATGTAATTGTGTAAATTAAATAAAACATAGTTTTACCTGTCATTATTACTTGTCATAAGACATTATTATCAGGCCTATTATATTTTCAAACACTCTATTCTTTATATAGCCCCTTAATGTATTTCAATAATTAGAAGGGTCTATAATAACAGTATTTCAATGGCACTTCACCCGACTGGGATACAACAAACATAGTAGTGGTCGGAATATTATTTATGTAAGTCATTTGTTACAACAACAGTTGCAATAGGCCTAATACTAATATCTTATGACAAGTATAATTATAATTATGCTTCGCTGGGTTGTAAAAAGCATCCATACTATAACAAAACATTGTTTTACTAAGAGATGATAGAGCCTGGGACATCATAGAGTTCTAGCTTTATCACGTTTTTATTTTATTTTTTCAGTGATATCAAGTAAAGTTTGATAAAATGTTGTTAGTTTCATTTGAAACTGTACTCTTTTGAAAAGTAATCAAATGCTCAATTCCAATAGTTTAATTAGTTGTCAGTTTAAAAGCTGACATCACTTTCTTAATCTTTAAAAATAAAGAAGAAATAATAATAAACAATTAATTTCGTAATGAATAAACTAAATGTTTGTGAAGTTTCCAGAATCTATAAATTGTTTGAGCCCCCTATCACTTTAGCATTCGACCCTTGATACTTTAAAACACTAGTGTCTTACTCTACAATTTACACATAGTTTGTAAACAATATAAACACAATATTCACATAAAACCTTTCCCAGAAGTAAATTTAGTTTATTTTTAATATATTGTTTACTTTTAAAGACATTTTGTTGAAAAAACAACAACACTAATTTGCATTACCTATTTTTAGTTGAAAGATCACATTAGTAAAATGTCAAGTTTTGTATATGGGGGGCTGGGATTCTTTACAGTAGTTGTCTGTAACTTGTTTGTGGTAAATTCGAACAATAAACGTAAAGCACACAATCTCCTTGTTTTAAAATAATATATATATATATTCAAAACAAGTCAAACCTACAAAATTTCTTAACGCAATAGGATATTATAGTTGTATCTAAAACTAAATAATTATCTTCTTCTTGTCAAATCCACACAGTCTGATTGAATTACTTTAGAATCCAATTGACAAGGTGAATTAATTTCTATTCTCTGTTTCTTACTATACCATCTGCCATAAATTATCATGGGTTATCATAGTTGTATCCGGAACTTTAACTAATTGTCCTCTTTTCGTCAAAGTCCACACAGACGTGTTCAATTAGTTTACAACACCCTTTAACAAGACAAATTATTCTCCTCATCTCTGTTAAACTGTGAAACTCAGTGGAACAGCGGTATGTCTGTGAACTTACAACGCTAGAACCGGGTTTCGATACCCGTGGTGGGCAGAGCACGGATAGCCCATTGTATAGCTTTGTGCTTAACTAAAAACAAACAAACATTTTCAAATATTGCCCGTTACAGCTAAACTAACAATCACCCATTCTAACTTCACTTTATTGCGTTCACTTGGTCGCCTATATATGACACTTTTCCAACTGAGGCCTCTGAATTTCATCGAGCTATCAGACGCTATGATTTAACAATACTCACTTAATTAGGGCAACGAGAAAAATACCAAAGATTCGAGTAACGTGACGTCAACAATATAACAAAAGTCTAGTAAGAAAATTAAACTGCACACACAACGCACGACTCCTATAGAGCTACGTAACGAAACTTGTCATAACTATTTCGATGACGAGGAACCCACTTTGAGACTAATAATGGCTAGAGTAACATTTGCTGTCATGTTAAACTTATATTAAAGTTTTTCTTCATTACCCATTTAAGCCGTCTCTAGCCATTATTGTCATAACTATCCCTTTTAAAATAATTAGCTTTTAACATTCTTGTTATGAAAAGTAATTAACCATTAAATATTAAGTCACAAAATAAACTAAACAATAACACTTATACTAAACAATCTTTTATATCCAACATAAAATAAAGATTATTTGTTTTGTTCCCAGTAATATAACGATATTTTTTTTATTTAGTTAAAGGACCAATTTTTCAACCACCAGTCAAGCAGTATGTTTCACCATCCAAAATAACTGTTCTCGAAGGTGATAAATTAGAATTAACCTGTATCTATGGTGGCACGTAAGTAACTAAGTTTTTGTTATATGTTAGTTTGTTGTTATTTTATTGCAAAGCTATACAATGGGCTATATATGTTCTCTGTCTAACGCGAGGAATTGAACCGCGGATTTTAGCGCTGTAAGTCCGTAAACTTACCTCTAACCCATCAGAGGACATTATCTTTCATAATCTTTAATATTCATATTTGATTACCAAATATTTAAAAATGTTCATTTTACTGTTATTAACCATGCATTATAATATAATTTTCTAATAAATGTTATCAATAATTATTTAATGAAAATACTTGCTCAACATTTTTATATTAGATAACTATCAAATTGTTTGTAATAGTTATAGTTTCTGTTTACAATTCACAAGTAAGTTGTTTTTATAATACAATGACACCTACAACACAGTTATTTCACTTATTTATCTGAACCTTGTGTGTCAGTGGTGAAAACTCGTACAATTATTTTATGTTAGTTCATTTGAACAGTTTGTAGTAAATTTGAAGTAATTAATTTCATTGGAAAGCTTAAAATATAACGCACAGCAGTAGTATAAATAAAAAAAGAACCCTTATTTTGATATTAGAGAAAGCACTATATATTTATTCAACGGGAAATATATTATATGTACATAAGTTCTCTACAGTGAACCTAAGAGTTGACATGGGCTAGTGATGCGTCTTTTCTAGTTTTGGTGGTCTTTTTTCTATGTTAATCTATCCTGGATCGCCATTAGTTGTGACGACCACGGCATGTGTGTAACAGACCATCAGCCAAGAAAGTAGATAGTTTGCTGATGCATTACTGGTTGTCACCGACAGTGTCACCTTTGCATTGTGGACGGGTCCACGAAAGTTTGAGCTGGTCTTCAAGTTCATGTGGAAGTTCACAGTACTTCTTTTATGAGTGCAATATACTAGTCAGTCAGTTAACAGTCTTTCTTTTGTGAGCGCAATAAGCATGTTAGGCAGTTCATAGTCCTCTTATGAGTGCAGTACTCAAATCAGGCAGTTCAAAGTAATTCTCATGTAAGTGTAGTAAGCAAGTCAGGCAGCTCACACTACTTATCTTGTGAGCATAGTAGGCTAGTCAGGCAGTTCACAAGACTTTATGGCTTCATTGTCAAGTCAAGTTCAAAAACATTCAAGCACAATCTTAGGAGTTCAGTAAGTAACATAGGATTAAAGGTGTAACATGGTAATTGCAGGCAACAACAGGATGAGCGCAGGTGCAAGCACACACCTTGCTCAATGGATGCTTCCCCAGGACCAATGGATATACAATCCAGTAGGCTTCATAGGATCATTACTTGAGCTTGCTGTGCTCTAGGGTGGGCATATGCTGTTGCCACAGCAATTCCACTAGCTCTAGCCAGCTGAAATCTCAGGAATGTAATGTTTCTCAGAAGTGGCTGGTTGTCTTAATAGAGTCATATCTGCTATGGGAATGGAGATTGAAGACCTGTTCCAAATATATGTGACTGAAATTGACCTTACCATGGTTGTCATACAATGTCCAAACACCAGCTTGCTTCCTGACACAAGTTGAATATAATCTGATCAAATAAGTAAAATCACCAATTATTTTCCAAATACATCCAGTTATATTCATGTAGTCATAAGAAAAACTTTCATATAATTACAAGTAAATGTATATTTCACAAAATGTGTGTATAACAACTATCTTGTTAAAAAATAATATCAAAATAAAACTGTGCAACACTTCATATGGAACTTTTCTGGACTCAAATCAGCACCTTGCAATACCAGGGCTTATTAATGAGCACTTATGTGTTCCACAGAACCCAACAAGCCTTGGGTTGCTAAGGCCTGTTCAGTGCCACCATGACTAATCTCTGCTGCCCTATTCTCATGAACCTCACTTCATCTGTAACTTCCTCCTCTCCTCCATAAACCATATGGTTTTAGAAAGTGTACTTCCATATCAGTCATGATTTTTGAGTGTTACAGTACCAATAGAAATAGAAGCACATTCAAAATACATTATGCAGTAAACAAATTCTTTGTTCAGGACATCCAAATCCAAATCAGTAACTAGTCTGTGTTGTTTACAAGGATGTTGTCTAAACTAATATTTCAAACACAGACAGTAAAGGAAGTACAGATACACAGGGAAACAAATAAAATAGATCTTTATTTACACTAATTAGGTTTTGTACATATTTTCCTATGGCCAGCCTCTATGTTCATTTTAACTCAAATTGACTGCTGTAGTAAAAATAAGGCTTACTTAACACCTTCACTCAAGAAAAAGGTAGAATAAAGAATAATGAAAAATCATACTTCCAAGTCAGACCAGAGTATTATTGTGTTATTGACAATTCGTAGATTACCTAAGTCAACAACTATTCCAAGTAACATATACAAGAGAGAGAGAGAACACTCAACTTGTGCACGTATCTGTATTCTCCCTTGAGATGGGTTTCTCACAATCAAGAGAATAGACACAGACACAAGATCAATCTGGTACAAACTTCTATTAGAAAGGGATTGAAATATGTAATCTTTACCTAAGCAAAAAAAGATTGGTTCATGTTTATGATCTTTGTACATCCAGTTTCAAAGGATGTCATAAATACATGGATATTTAGAAAAATCACCTGAATGTACCTAAATAAAAATACATTTTATGCTAATAAAGAAGGATAAAATCAGCACTTATTTCACTTGTGACATTATCCAGTGGGATAACGATAAGTTTACAGACTTACAATGTTTAAATCTGGGGTTTGATTCCCCACAACAGACATAGAAGATGGACCAATGTGGTTTTAACAAACAACTGTGACAGTAACTGTTTGACCAATTTTAAGCATACCTTCAACCTTTCTTGATTCTGTATACTTTATGTTCTTTTTTTTTCTTCTAAAATTATGATTTTAAAAATTTTGCTTAGCAATAAAAAATAATTTCTCACTGTCTGGAAAACAAATGGATTTATAATTATATTAGATGCATGATTATAAGATAGCTAATGCTAAGAATCTACAATACATACATTTTTCTAGATTTTTTTCAAACCATTTTATATACTTTGTGAAAACATCATGCTTTCCATAAGTTTCATGTAATTCATGCCCTAAAGAAAATTCAAAAGTAGTTGAAATATTTTGAAGAACTTGATATGTTTTTCACTTATGTTACTGCTGTTGTCTACATGTTAATTTTAGAACATATTACTTATATTATAGTTATGATAAATGCCTTAAAAATTAATATATTTTTTCAAACTTGTATGTTTCTTGTTTCATATTTTGAACAGACCAATTCCCACAGTGAAATGGTACTTTACCAAAAAAGGGCTAATCTCTAGAGAAAGACTGGATAAACCAGTGAAAATTGACAAAACGTTTCTGATTAAAAGTGTTGACAGTGACAGTGAAGGCAGTTACCAGTGTGTTGCTGACAATGGAGTTGGAAGTGAACAAATATATTCAATAACAGTCACAGTAGAATGTAAGTTTAAAATAATTCATTTTAATTTAAGCGTCTGCAAGTGTTTTATTAGTTGTCCCTATAACTTTAAAAGATGAAATACTGAAGCAACCATAATCATTGTTAATCTGTTAATCAATATATATAATCTAGTAATATGAACATCCCTAAAACGTAAAAGTCACAAATAAAATTAGTATTTAAACAGTATCTTTAATACACAAGTTTTAGTTAAGATCAATTATATTTATTGAATTTGTTAATTGTTTGAAACAAAAAAAACAACAACATTGAACTAGTATTCACTTACTATCATCATATTTTTTCTTCATGCTAGAGTTTATTTAATTGGAAGGATTTTAACAATTTTTTTTTAGTTTGATAACTATGAAATTTTGAACATACAAATTAAATAATATTACACAAAAAAGTATGTGTGGGTTCTTTCAATGAAAGGCAGTTTAAACAGGTTTCCATTGATGTAAAAGTATCTGCAAGATGATTTAACCTAGAGTAATAACATAACATAATGTTTAGGGAAAACAAAGGACTTATTGGTCCATCTTGGCTGTCCTATCTTCTAAACAAGATTAAAACTATTAAATAGATCAAATGAAAAATTTTAGTCAGCTCTTATCATTCATATAGTTATCAAGCTTTCTCATAAACTCACTTAACTTTACTGCCTCTACAATATCAAAAGGCAACTCATTCCAGAGGCCAACTACCCTGTTAGAAAAATAAAACTGCCTAAGCTGAATATGACTCTTATACTTGTATCTCCTAGTCCTACTATTCTCACCATTAAGTATGAAAACAAATGATGCATCAACATTATCAATTCCCTTTACAATCTTAAACACCTTAATCAAATCCCCTCTAATTCTTCTTGTTTCAAGTGAAAACAATTTCAGAGATCTTAACCTCTTATCATATGACAACCCCTTCATCCCAGGCACCATTCTAGTAGCCCTCCTCTGAACCCTTTCCAACAATTTGATGTTCTTCATAAGGTAAGGAGTCCAAGGTTGAACACAATACTCCAGTGGTGTAGCAAGGGTTCTCAGCACCCGGGGGCAAAGACACTTTTGGCACCCCCCACCTCTGAAATGTTTTGATTATCTGTTTTGTGACTCATTACCCACTTAATGACAATAACATTAAGAATTAATTACCACCTTACACAGGCCTAAAATAAAGTCACAATATAACATCTCACGATATCACAACTGTAAACCTGGAACTAATGAAGTATAGCCTACTAGGTGTACTTACATAATTTGTAAACCATTTTGATATTGTTCAAAGTCACAGAGATAGAGTAATCTTTCAAGCATGCAGAATAAATTTCTGTTATATCCATAGTTTTGAAACTTATGTTTTATATGAGAAGCCAGTCACTTGTGGTGTACATGGATTATAAAACAGATTGATAAAATACTACTTAAGTTTACAAATAAAAAATTTTATTAGTTTACAAAACTGTACATATACTTAACTAGATCTTGTACAAGTAGCATTCTGGTATTCATGGTTACATTATACGAACCTTTCGTGCTTTTGCTGCTGCAAATGCATCAATTAAAATATCAAAATTTAAGGTCTTTTTCAATACTTAATACTGCCATAATAATTGCAATAAACAAGGTGTCAAACTTCTAATTAGTTGATTAGTCTGTCAGGTACTGTTTATCCATCCAATGCCCTGTCGATTTCATCTGTGTCTTGATTAGATTGTCAAAGAAAAATGTTATCATAACTTCATTACTTTATATATTTCCATAATTTTCATTATAGAGACTACACTCTGGAGCCACAACAGAAATTAATACAATGAAATAAATATGAATGAGTAATTGATTATGAATTAATAAAAGACATAGGTATTGAAAATAATTTATAGTTCACCATAAAACCAAGAAATATTTTAAATGTATTATCTGCTCAATTTATTTTTGTTTTGGGAAGATCCATGTGTATGTTGGAAGAAATCTGAGAGAATTTTCCTTTCACACTTGTAAAGGTTTCATCAAATACATCAAATTATTCTTAAAGTGTATCGTTCTCCAAACAGATGGATTTTTCTAAGACCCCAAAATTCCTTTTTTCTGTTTTCTGGCCAACCATATTATGTTTCTGCAACCCTGATAAAACATGTAAGTGCCTTTTAAATTTCAAACTGCCATGTGATCACAAGAGTTATTCATGACCTATGCTAATTAATCATTCCATTGGTGTATAGAGGTATCAGCTGTTATTATAACTCCTCAAGATATTCAGAATGTATTGGTACCATTCTTAGATGTATCATGAGAAGTATTGCACATAAACAAGACAAACAGTATTCGAAAATTGATGCCCTGGAAGTCCTGCACTTCATATTTTCGCAAATTAATGGAATTTCTGTTGTTGCTTATTATGATTTAAAATCATTGTAAAGTCAACTTAACAAGCCTAGAAAATCTATATTTATTGTCTTTCTGGATAACATGATTGTTCCAGTAACATAAGACACCCTACACAAAATAATACATTTCTTTAGTGCCTATACTTCAAACCTTTTCAAGAACATGTGATCTATGGTGATAGGACTGATTATATTTTCCAGCCTTGCTAGATATTATGTCTCTTTGAATTTTAATTCATTATCATTATCACCTAAATCTAATTACTAATTAGTAACTAGTTTTATAATAATTATTATTATCTTATACACTATGTTTTAGCTGCTAGTCTGCTATCTTAAGGGTCTTTTAAGAAAGATTATAGGTGGTAGAAGGATCTGGAACTTGACTCTGAATCTTCTTCTTAGAATGGCAGGTGTGCTATAAATTTGATGGGACTCTCATCCCATTGGGACTTGAATCATCTATCTGGATGGCTTGAATAAGGATATCCAAATTTTGCTGACATTTTATGTTAATTTGGCTGAATGTGTTAAAATTTAGTTTTGACAATTCTTCTGTTGTTTTTCTTATGTGGTTTGTATCCCATTGTTTTAGTGTCATTTTGTTACATTAAATTATATACTTTTTCATTCTTGATTTATTGGGATATCCATTGTTGAGAAACATTATAGTGGTGGGTGTCTCTTCATTCTTCTGAACGTCTTCTATTTAACAAATTTGTTCATTCTGAAAAATAAAGGAAAAAATCAAGGAGATATATGATAAATTTAATTGATTTAAATTGACAGATATTAAGAAATTGTAAAGAGCTTTTAAGGAACAGCTGGCCACTAATAATAAATCCAATAGGAAGAAATGTTTATAAATATGTCATAAATAAGTAAAATAGGTAATGAATAGAAGAGATGCATGATCTACATTGATGATATTTTGGTGTTTTGCCATGCTTTCAATTACATGTCGGAGAGCCTGACGATGATATTGAAATCTAAATTAGGAAAATGTCCATTCTTACCAATAGAGGTGACGTTTCTCACTCATGTTGTGGGAAGAGCTAAGATAGCTACAGTAAAAGGTTCTCTAAAATAGAACAACATTAATGTGATCACATATTCTACTCCTTAAACTTGCTTTAATCAGTGCTTAAGTGCTGGCCTATCCATGCCAAGACTGCTATTGGACACTGATGACAGGGGCAATGAAATCAGAGCGGTGTTATTACAGTTGCAAAATATAGTAGTACCTGTAATCACATACACTATTCCTGTGCTCATGACTTCCTAATGTAGATATTGTATGATGAAGCTGGTTGCAGAGGTCATATTTGTAAAACACTATTGCTACTTCTTGTATGGTAGGATGTTCACTATTTCAGTAAACCACACTTTGCTGAAGTGGTTAGTAAACTTTAAAAATTCAGAGAGGATGATAGCATATTAGATAATGGTGTTACAGGAGTATCACTTCATAGTTCATGGCCTAGGATCTCTACCTGGAAGCGTTGTCAGACTATCTTGGTGAGACTTTGTCCATTCGTGGAACTTCCTGACCCTAGATAACATGTAGAAGTTGAAACCATAGCCATTTCTGCCAAAGCAAAGGCAAATCATGACATAGAAAACTCCACTGGCAGATGGATGCAGAAGCTAGCATGGGTGCTCCTTGCTCTCCACCAAGGTCAAGCCCAACCAGCATAACATGGATACACATAAGCTGTAGCACCTTTACAAGCAGTTATAAGAGCAAGAATGTCTGCTTTACCATCGTTTGTAACAATAGTGTAACGAATTTTTGTACATAAATTGGACTTGTTTTGAATATATATATTATTTTTGAAACAAGTGGATTGTGTGCTGTCTGTTTATTGTTGAAATTTATTGCCAACAAGTTACAGGCACCTACTGTAAAGAATCCACTGCCGTATAAAACCTTACAGGTCTTCTCTGTAGAGGATAGCCCTAGATATTGTTTATATGCTCCCAGAGATTGAAAGAGGATGTTGCTACATACTCATCATCATTGACAACTTTACAAAGTAGGCCAAAGCTCTTCATTATTCTAGCAAAGACAGTAGTTAATATTGTAGCTGAGAGCTGGATAGCATGATTCAGTGTACCATAAGAAATCAATTTGGATCAAGGAGCTAATTTCAACAGTCAACTGTTCCCTGCATTCAGTACTTACTGGTATGAACTCTTGCCATACATTATGATAACATATAGAAAAATGGAACAAGAATCTACAGACTAATTTCTGAACCTACTCATGTTTGGAAAAGGACTATTACTTCTTGTGGACTTTATATATAATCTTATACCATCAGGAAGAGTCTCTCATTGTCCCAGGAATATAGAATGGGTGAGATCAGTAATGGTTGATGCACACAAGATCATCCAACAACAACTTGGGAAGGCAGCATGTCAATAGAAGATTGGATGGTGAAAGACTGAATGCTTCAATACAGTGACTGGGTGTAGTTGTGGTACATGCCACCTGGACAAGAGCAACTGAGATTTGGCTGGATTGGTTCATAACTAGCAAGTTCGAATTCATGAGATATGAGTTACAGTGGATGCAAGCACATGGATAAGCTCTGTCCGTACATTACAAATTAGCTTTCAGTGCACTGGTTTGATCAGAATTCTGTAGATGAAACCAATGAGTCATAAGAACACTACGACACCATCATGAGTCATCCTGATTTATATGACAAGAAAGAACAAGTTATAGAGACTTATTTGACAGACTGTGATGAATCACTTGGGGAATTTCTAGAGATGGAATAACTACCAGTTTCAACTGATGGTTAAGACACCAACACTGGCCTCCTGATCAACATGGATGGGACTTATTATGAAATTTAAGACAGTCACTGGTTTGAGCAACCAATGACTGAAAAGAAGTAGTGTTCCTTGCTTTCTGAGTTATCAGGTTGTGATGTCCAGCAAAATGTTTGGAGTACATTTTGTGACTGTGCTTGGAAATTGACAGTTAGGGCAGTCATTGATCTACATGATTATAGACTGAAAAGAAGTGGAATTCATTGCTTTTTGAGCTATCAGGTGATCTACACCGTATATGTACTACATTCTGTGATTTCCACCTGACTAAGAAAGCTAGGACAGTTGTTTGGTTGAGGAACCAACAATTGAAACAATTGAAATCAAATGGTATTGAGATGTATGTACCATGTTTTGAGAGCATTACTCATATAATATAACTGAGTGGTGAGAACTTTGCAGAGCATGCCAAACGGTACTTGCTGGATTTTTCATTGATTTTCCTGAGATTTATGCTTGATCTACAATCTACAAAAGAATCCAACTTTATTTCAGTATGTATTAGGGTACATTAGTAACAGAACAAATTTTAATCCTAGTAAATAGAATTTGATAAAAAATTCTTAATTCTTCAAACTTTTACCAGTTTATGAGGTTAACTGTAATAACTGACTTGGAGAGTATCATTAAAAAATGCAATGCACCTGTTATTTTCATTAACACGAGAAATATATTGTTACGACAGCGGAAGTCACATGATGCTGGTAACACGTCATGAG